GTGCAAAGACAGCACATCCCTGGCCTTAGCAGGAATTCATACACTACTGCAGTCCTCCAGGGACAGCCACCCTCACCTCACCAGCCTCAGCACAGTGCTGTGGTACTGCCCTCTCAGCACATCTGTGTACCAGGGCCACGGAGCCAGTCCAGCCTCGGGAGAACAGATCTATGCCCTTGATGCCTGCATACCACATGCAAAAGCACAGAGGAGGAGAATGCTCCCAGAGGACTTGGCGAGGTGAGTCAAATGCCTTGACAGACCTGACCCAAGGACTGCCACAGCTCACAGCAAGAGCAGGGCTAACTTGGTCCAGCATAGCCAACCTCAGGCTCGATGAGTATTCAAGTCTAATCAGTACTCAAAGGCTTCAGTTCCTCTCAGCACTCCCATTTTTACCAGGAGCTGATTCTCCATCACCTTTTCTGACATGCTATCATTTGTGATGCACACATCACCCCTCCCTGCTCCCCATGCACCAAGGGAGGCTGGGGCTGCAGCTCTTCCATTCCTTGTCCCCCAGGGCTTTGGGGATTCCCTGAAAAGGGAATTCACCAGAGGGGGGAGGGGAAGGAAAAGGAGGAGCTGCACCTCATCTTCTTACCCAATGGCGATCATGTCCACATCGTTTGTCTCGCCCGTGTTGAGGTGCAGCAGGGATGTCACATCATTTGGGGGCATGGCTGTACCTACGTTCCAGGTGACCACTGTGATGCTTGGGAGGACAAAGGAAGAACAGGCTAATATGAAGGCTCAGACAGGTTCCTTGTAACCCTGTTCAGCCCCCAGATCCACCAAAGAAGCCTTTTGCGGGCAACAGAAGTAGCCAGGGCTGAAGCTTAGTCATGGCATATATACAAGGTCCTTAACTCCTACATGAGAGAGACAGATCCTTGCCTCCAAGATCTGCACCTGAAATTCTAGAAACCAACACTAAGAGCCCTCGTCTTCATCACCACTAGCTGACACAGACAGGCTGCGAGACGGGGTGTCTCTGGAAACCCCCTCCCTTCCCCAGGAAGGCTCAGGCTCCTGGGGAAAAGGACCCGGATCTCAGTTCCCAGCCTCTGCCAGCCACAAAGGCCAGGGCAGCGCATGTGACAGCAGTGCTGCAACCCCGCAGCGGTGTCCTTCACCAACGCAAAGCAACATCCGTCACAACACATTAATGCCCTTGCGCAACGGGCACCAGCAAAGGGCCCGCAGGCTCTTTTGGTAGTGACAGGAGCCTCAGTCACGGGGGAGACGATTCAATATGGAAGGAGAGCAGCGCCACACTAGCCCCGGTGCTCGGGGACAGTGGGGGCAGGTTGCACTCACTCCAAAGTCGGTGTCTCTACCACGACATCCCGCACGAACAGTGCGCGCCAGACATCCTTCCCGCCGGGATCTTGCCTGCAGCCCCGCACCCCAATCCTGCTGAATCCGCCACAGCGGGAAGAAGGGGCACAGCGGATGCTGCTCCCACGGCACTGCGAGCCCCGTCCTCGCGAGCGCCCCGCGGCCCCACTCACCGGAACGCGCCGTCCTCCGGGGCTCGTCCCGGGCAGTCTGGTAGCAGATCGCAGACGGCGCTGGGGCCGAGACGACCGAGGGGCCGGGCGAGGACGGGCAGCTCTCCCGTCTCCGCTCGGGGGCTCAGGCCCGCCCACCCGCCGGCAAGGAACTCGCTGGAGACGGCCTTGGGCAGCGTGGGGGCGCGGGGCACGGCGGGGCCCGCCCAGGCCGCGATGTGGTCGCTGGACTCCGCTTTGGGCAGCATCTCCCGCCGCTCCGGCGGGGCCGGCGCGGGGAAGGTGACCCGGCCGGGCGCTGCCGGGGACGGGGGACCGCCCGGGCCGGGGGACAGCAAGGCCGGCAGCGGGAGACCCTCGGGCGGGGTATGGGCCTGGGGCCGCTCCTCGGTTCCTGCGCGCCGCGGGCAGCCGTGCCCGAAGCCGTGCCCGTCCGGTCGGGAGCTCCTACGGCCGCCCGCGACGCCGCCGCCGAGGAAAGGCACCGCCGAAACCCCAGCGTCGGGCGGGAGCCGAGCCGCGCTCCCGGGGCCGCGCGGGGGGCCGGGTCGAGACCCCTCGCCGGAGGCCGAGCCCCGGTCGGCGCTGCCGCGCCGGGCCGGGTCCATCGGCAGGAGAAGACCGGAGCGGCCCCGGCCCCGGCCTCGACCCGGCCCCGCGCACCTTGCGGCCCCGCCCCGTGACGTATCCACACAGTGACGTCAACGCCCGCCACCTGCGCGGCGCCTCAAAGGCGCAGGAGCGGCCCTGCCCCTCGCGCACCTGCCGCTCCGCCCTGCTCACGTGACGGCCCGTGCCTCGCCCCGTCCGCCGCTCGAAAGCCTTTCCTGGCGTGTGCCTCCCCCTCCCCCTTCACACCTGTCCTTGCGTGTACACACCTGTTCTTGTGCATGAACACCTGTCCTTGCACACCCTCCCTGCGTGTACGCACCTGTTCTTGTGCATGAACACCTGTCCTTGCATACCTGTCCTTGCAAGTGCACATCTGTCCTTGCTCATGCACATCTGCCCCTGCAAATGAATGCCTGCCCTGGTGCATTACTGTGTATATGACTATTCACCACCGAAGCTGTTGTGTCAGCTTGTGCCAGATATGTCTGTGGTCTGTTGCAGAGTGTTTGCATTGTTGGTGAGCACACGCACCCTCGGGCAGTTGTGTGTGAGCGTGTGAGTGTGTTTGTGTGTGTTGTTGTGTCTGGCTGTGTGTGTATTTACACATGGGCTGTGTGTGCTGCATGTGCATCTCTGTGTGTGTACTGGTCTGTGTGTGCAGCTGTGTGTGTGCAGCTCTGTGCAGCTGTGTATGTAGCTGGGGATGTGTGTGTGTGTCTGTGTGTGCGTGTCTGTGTGTGCAGCTCTGTGTGTGTAGCTGGGGATGTGTGTGTGTGTCTGTGCAGCTGTGTGTATGTGGCTTTGTGTGTAGGTGCTGCTGTACCTGTGTGTGGCAGTGCCCATGTGCTCCAGTGCCTGTACAGCGTTTTGTACAGGCAGGTCTGAACACCTGCACTTGGGGTGCACACATACATAGGAATCTGGGTGACAGGTTTATCCTCATCCTGTGCCTGCTACAGTGTCTGGGGAAGGCTGGAGCTTGAGGAGGAGAAAGAGCCGGGTGAATTAAGGAGTGAGGCAGAGGAGGATACTGGCCAGAGAGTATAAGATCCTTGGATCGCCATGGGATTCAGTCAGGAGCCAAAGGAACTGTGGGAAGTCCCTGCCATCGTGAAGGGGCACTTGCAAATCATTTGTGATCAGTGGTGGCAACTGGGAAAGGACTGAGGAGAGTCGATGTCACACTGCTCTGCACTGGACACAGCACTCCAGGGGTAGCCTCATAGGAGCCTCTGTGACCTCCTTTGGCCTGCTAACAACACCCCCCCAATGCAGCTCAGGATGTCATTCACCTGCTTTGCCCCAAGGAGATGGTGAGCTCATGGTCAGTGAGGGTCAGGGTGTGCAGGGTTGTGGGGGTGGGGTGCGTGTGTGTGTGTTGGTGTGTGCTGTTGGTATGTATGTGTTGGTGTGTCGTTGGTATGTGTTGTTTCTGTGTCGGTCAGTGCAATGGTGTGTTCTGTGTGTATGTGTAGTTGTTTGCGTTGCTCTGTGTGTTGGTGCTGTTGGCGTGTATTGCTCTGTGTGTGTTGGTATTGTTGGTCTCTGTGTGTTGATCTGTGCTCTACTGGTGTGTGTTGCTCTGTGTGTGTGGTGCCATTGGTCTGTGTGGTGCCAGTCTGTGCAGATTGTGTGTGTGTGGGTGTTGTTGGTCTCCATGTGTCAATCTGTGCACAGTTGGTGCTGCTGTGTGTGTGGTGCTTTTGGTCTCTGTGTGTTGGTCTGTGCACGGTCGCTGTGTGTTGCTCTGTGTGTGATGCTGTTGGTCTGTGTGGTGCCCATCTGTGCACGGTTGGTGTGGTGGGTTTCAGGGCTGGCTAAATGCCAGGGCACTTATTAGAATATCCTTATTCATTTCCTGCTGTGACATAGGATTAGGAGGAAGGCAAAGCAGACTTAAACTTGAAAAGGGTATAAAGAAAAGTTTATAACAGTAACTAAAAGAAAGAATAATAAGAATTCTAATAAAACTTTTAGAACATTTCTCCCCCATAACCTTTTCTTTCTCTCTAACAATGTACAGAAACAATTCAGTTTATTACTTTTAGAATAGTCTTTCTTCAGTTTACTTAGGGAGAGAAGTCTCTCGTTAATATATGAAGACTGCTCTATAAGAAAACAGTTCTCTCCTGGCTTTGAATTTCTATTAATAGTAGCCACCAGGAAAATCTGCCATTGTGAAGTCCTTCCCATTTTTCACAGGTTCTCGCACAGCTGTGTTTATGGGCCATGTCAACTTATGGGGTACTGTTTTAAAGATGAGCTGCTTAAGAGCAAAGGTTCTCTTCATCTATCATTGAAATCATAATTTCTGGGAATAGAGGTCTTCTTTTCTCCCTGGGGGCACAGGGTCTTCATCACTCTTTTCTCTCTCTGTATAAACTTATGGGATCACAGCTACTTTAACATCTGCTTACTTTAGCACAGAGGCCTTTGCTAGATATCTACCATTTGAATGATTCATCTCCCCTGACTTTTCAATGCATTACAGGGAAAAAGAGCCTGATGTATCAATTATATTTTTCTCCATATCTTTATAAGAGTACTTTCACTAAAGGCATTTCTTTATCCCTCCCTCTGGGACTTGACTTCTTCATTGACCTCAGTGACTTCGTGCTATTCTGCTACGTGTTTGCACTCTGTCCTTTTCTCTCACTCGAGGGAGGACTGAAGCACTGAAAGAGTTAATATCTCACCCGGGGCCTGCAGACGGTTACATGGCCCTGGCCAGGCTCTGTAGCTTGCAGCCGGAGCTGCGGCTGGGCTGGGGGGGAACGCAGTTAGGATCTCGGCAGCCGGGCCATGACACAGCAGCAGCACACCGGGGGCCGATGGCTTCTCCTCCCCCTGTCCGCTGGGTGCAGGTGAACCTCAATGGCAGCAGAATTTTGGCCGAGCCAGCCCAGCCCCGGCTGCTCCTGGGGCCCAGCAGACCCCGCTCGGCCTGGGCTGGTGGCAGGGCAGGGCTCGGTAGCAGCAGTATGTCAGCAGCCGCAGCCGCGGCCCGGCCTCGGCCCCGCGGCCTCCCCTTTCCTTGCCCGGCAGCGATGGGGCCCGGCGGGCGCCCTGGAGAGGGGCTCGGGCCCGCGGCAGGGGCTGCCCGGCTCGGCCTGCCTGACACGGGCCCGGCCCAGCCCGGCCTCCTCACCTGCTCTCAGGCCAGAAGGGAAAAAGACCCTCCTGGGCTTTTTTGTCTTTAACAGGTATCTTCACGGAGGCGTGTACAGTTTCCTTACTAGTTTAACAAATTGTCAGTTTTCAAAACTAATTACTGAATGATCTTTTTGTCAGACACAGGGGAAACTGCTAGCAGCCTCTTTTAGAAAGTCACTTCCATGACTGCCTCCAATATAAAACCGCGACAGTTGGTCTGTGTGTTGCTGTGTGTGTCGCTGTGTGTCGCTCTGTATGTGTCGCTGGTGTCGCTGTCGGTCTGTGCACGTTGAGCGCTCGCGGCTCTTACGCGCCATTCACAGGGTGCGCACGCGTCTGCGCGCGAGACTGTTAGCGTTCGTGTGCGCACGTGTTTTGCGCGCGAGCCGCCGCGCATGCACGGCGCCGTGCGCGTGCTCGTGGCGCGCCGGACGTGGCAGCGGCGGGAGCGATGCGGGCGGTGCTGCCGGGGCCGGGGCCGGGGCCGGGGCCGGGGCCGGGGCCGTGGCTGTGGCTGCTGCTGGCGGCGGCGCTGGCGGCGGGCGGCGGCTCGGAGCACCCCCGGCTCCGCGAGACCGTGCTGCAGGACCTGGCCCGCGGCAAGGTGGAGGTAAGCGCGGGTGGGGACCGCGGGACGCGCCGGGGGCGAACCCGTTTTCCCGCCGGGTGCCTGACGGGGTGTCCTCTCCCGCAGACCTGCGGCGGGTGACGGCTGAATCGCCTCAGGGAGGTACGTACTGGGGCCGGGCCGGGCCGTGCCGTGGCGGGGAGTCGGGGCTTCCCTACGCTGAGCCGGGCCCGACTGGCCATTCTCCGCAGGTGAAGGCGTTCGTCACCCAGGACATCCCGTTCTAGTACCTGCCGGCAGCGGCTGCAGCGCTGGGGTCCGGATGGGATGGGATGGGATGGGATGGGGGATGGGATGGGATGGGGGATGGGATGGGTGAGGGACAGGATGCAAGGGAATGAAGTATGGGAGGGGATGGGCTGAGGGACAGGATGGGGTTTTGTGAGGAATGAAGGACAGGGTTTGGGGAGGAGTGGAGAATGCGTAGTTGGGGAATGTGATAAAGGATAGGATGGTATTACATGGGAAAGAGGATGGGATGGTAGGCAGTGAAGGATGGGATGATGGACAAAACAGATGGGATGGAAAACAACAGGATATGAGAGAAGATGGGTTGGGATGGAGGATGGTACAGGACAGACAGGAATGGGATGTGATGGAGGACAGAAGGGGATGTGATGAAGGATGGGATGGTATAAGGATTGTGTGGGCCTGATCAGTGCTGCCCATTCCTTGACACATTGCCCAGCCATAACCTGGAGATGAAACACCTGCCTGGTGCTGACCCTGAGCTTGTGCTCCTCAGCCTCCGGTATGAGGAGCTAGAGGTGAGTGGGCAGTGCGGCACCTGCTGCCACAGGGCCTGGGGTGCTCAGTGCCCCACAGGTGCCAGGCTACAGCCCCTGTCTGGGTGCAGAGAATTCCCCTGAGCGACATGACCCGGGAAGAGATCAACCAGCTGGTGCAGGAGTTGGGCTTCTACCGCAAGGAGACGCCTGATGCCCCTGTGCCAGAGGAGTTCCAGTTTGCCCCTGCCAAGTCTCTGCCAATACTGCCGCCCCCCCAAGCACCCACTGCTGATGGCAAGACCCCACCCAAACATGACAAGGAAGAACACCCAGACCTCTAGCAAGGAGTGGCACCCTTAGGACAGGGTCCTGCAGCCAGTCCCCAGTGCAGGGAATGAGGGCGTTATGGCAGCTGGACATGGTGTCACAGGGTGGCAAAGGTTTTCCCCCCCACTCTTGCTTGTGTGCTGGTTGATGCCCTCCTGTCCTTGGAGCCCATTATCCTTGGCCAGTCAGGAGGAGCAGCATTTCTTGCAGTCTCTTGCTGTGCCCAGATGTTTAGCTGCTCCCAGCACCGGGCAGCAGTATCCTGCTTGCATGGGACAGGATGAAACCCTCAGCAGAAAGCACCAGGTGCTAAGGGTAGATGTGCTGAGTCCCAAAGGTGGGAGAGCTGTCCCAAGAAGGGGAATTTACCCCCCAGCAGGGTTTATGTCATATCCACCTCCTAGTAAAGCTTTTATTTGCAGTCATCTGCATTGTGTCATCTTTTCAGAGGGAGCTCGGTCGTGTGCATCCCAAACTGCTCTGTTCCAAGGACAGCTGGGTGCCCCAGAGCTTCTCACAGAGGTAGAAGATGGCACAGTCATAATCACTTCTGGTGAGCCATATACCAACCTACAGACCAACTGTGCTGTTCCTGTGCCACCCCTCCCCAGCATGATAGAGGGGTGAGGGTGGTGGACACCATGGCATGGGATGAACTGTTCTCACAGGGTGCAGGAGGATGGGCATGAGCCCATGAGTGAGTCCTGCAGTGTTGAACCAAAGCCCCATGGCTGCACTGGCCCAGTTGGAGACATCTGGCCCTCAGCTAGGGAAGGCGGTGGGGCACAGCTGCACTTGACCATAGTCTTGCTGGCCATGTGGGAGTTTTTCCCTGTGCCAAGCCTAGGGCAATAGGGGGCAGTGAACCTTGGTCTGGGGATGGCTCAGCTATGGACATCATCAATGAGGTGAGGAGCTGTACATGCCCCAGTGTCCCTCTGGGCTGGGTAAGCAATTGAGTTGCAGGTAGAGGGGCCTGCAGCAGCTGGACTGCCAGCATTCCCCAAGCACTGTGGTGTGCAATATGCCACTGGCAGAAGGACCTGAACCAGAGGCATTGCCCTAGATAAACCTTTATTATCTGGCTGGTGTTGGTACACGTGTCAGCGCAGGTGTAGAGATGTGACAGAAGGGCGAGCAGCACTGAGCACATGGGTGGCCTGAGCTGGAGAGGAGAGTGGGGACGGTTGTCCCAGCTTGCACCGTTCACCTTGCACTCCCCTGGGACCCCTTGCTGCTACCCCCTCCCCAGCCCACAGGTGCCCCTAATGTGGAAGTGCCTCAGGTGCACGTGGAGGTGGGAAGCAGGGAGTTGGCACGGTTGTGGAGCTGTCCCCAGGGAGGTGACACCAAGCAAGGCCTGCAGTGGGCAGAGAGGCTTCGTTGCAGGGGACCAAGGGAACCGCTGACAGGTGCTGCCTGCAGGATATACCATGACCCTGGCTGAAATGCACAGCCCTGCTCAGCCACAGACCCATGAGGTGGCCCGAGTCTGAGGGCACAGCTGTGCCCGCGCTACCCCAGGGACATAGGGATGGTACCTGCAGGGCAAATAATTCTTGGAGAACAAATAACTTAAAAGGCTGGAGTATGGGGGGCAAGCCAATGTGGGAGCATCCCCAGCAGTGCCCACCTGGCTCTGCCCACAGGGTCAGCCCACAGCTGGCCGAGGCAGAAGCAGCTCTGCCAAGGCAGAGGTGTGGGGGTGCCCTGGTGGAAGAGTTCTCCTGTCCCCAGTGCCAGACCCATGGCCCCCCAGACCCTCCCAGGCAAGCAGCTCCCTTGCCCGCAGGCAGCTCTGGGGTGAGGGCAGCAGTGGGGGTGGAAAGGGCAGGCTCTAGCACTCCTTCTGCCGCATGCGCAACTCGTGGCGACGCAGGTGGTTATAGAGGGACTGCACGTAGGTGAAGACGCACTTGGCGTCAGGCTTCTTCCCCATGATCATCATGTCTTCAACCTCCACCAGCGGCACGCAGTCCACCAGCGTCCTGCAGAGATGAAGCCTTCAGCATGGCCTCAAACAGGCTGCCACGTGTGGGGGCTGGGATGGGCACCCCACACTGCCCAGGGCCTGCTGGTGTGGGCACTGCTGCCCTCAGACCTGCTGAGCTCCTTTCACACCCCTCCACCCCACCCTGGTACCACAGTCCTGCTCCTGACACTGGGAAAAGCATGTGCTATCTGCCCTGGGAGGTGCCTGCCCCAGGGCAGGGGTTTCCCAATTGTCTGCACCCCTGGCTCCCCAGATGCTCTCCATCCCACTTCTTGGTGCTGGCAATCATTCCCTGCTAAAGCCGTGCCCACCCTCCTCCTCTTGCTCCTCCAGCTGATGCTGATGTCCTCTAGAGAAAGTCCAGCCTGGCTGCAGGTGTCTGCTGTGCCCTTGCCTCAAACCCCACCAAGTGATTCAGGGAAAGCAGGGGATGGGTCTTGGTTATGTGCTGCCCCTTACTCCTGCCTCAAATCCTGACCCTGATGTTTTGCCTTCTCCTAAGCCCTGCCAGTCTGGCTCCCTCCCCTGCCCTGGACTGGAACCCAGGGGCTACCTGCACCAAGCACAGCACACCCTACTGCCCTGCCTCAGCTCACTCAGCCCTGGCCTATCTTCTCTCTCTGCCCCACCACAGTGCAGGGGTCCATGCAGGACCTGGCTCCAGGAGCTACCAGTCTTGTGGCACCCTGGAAGATCAGTTGTGGTTGTGTCCCCATCCCCATAGTAGCCTTGGGGCTCTGCCACTGCCCTTTTCGTGGGGTGGCCTACTCTGCCTTGCCACCCATCCAGTTCCCTGGGCTATGTCTCTGCCCAGGTTGGGTCTCCCTGGGTCCTTGAAGGGACTGACAACACAATTAGGAGTCATGATGACAACCAGGAAAGGCATGGAGCAGATCTGGCAACCTCTTGTCCTCTCCTTCCTACAGGGAGAGAAGGGGTGGGGGGCACAGAAGCAACCCCACCACTTCTGCCAACCCTCCTGGCCTTGCCCAGGCCCCACACCCCTACCAGGCACTGTTTCCCCTTCAGGCTGCTGCTGCTGCTGGAGCAAGGGCTGCATTGGCACTGGGGGCGGTGCTGACACAAACTGGCAGCACCTGCTGCTGCCATGGCCAGTTCAGCTGCTTTGGCCTGGGCCACTCAAGTTTCTGGCCCCAAGGCTCTGGGTGCACAAGGATGTCCCAAGGCAGGGATCTGCCCCCAAAGACAGGGTACACAAGGAGGCTCTGAACCCTAAGCTTGCCACCCACCACAACACCCTCAACCCCCAAGCCCTGAACCTCCCCTCTCCCCTCCTGCAGTAGCCCCACTGCACACGTTGGCCCCCTAGAAGAGTCCCATCCCAAGGAGCGACCCCAGCCAGTGCCAGCCCCTGGGGAGCACCAGGGTCCAGGAGAGCCCCCCACCCTGAGTCCCATGGCCCCAGCCATTGCATTAGGTCTCTGCTGCCTGCTCAGTGGGCTCCAAGCCCACAGCCTGGCTGGCACCAGCCCCACCTCATGATTTGGCCACCGTGAAGGTGGGAGGGATAATGCTTGGGGCCTTGGGAAAGCCCTTGCCACTGCCAGCCTGGCTTAGGGTAGTGGTGGAGCAATGGCAGTGCACAGAGAGTGACTCTGCCCTTATAAAGCCATTGTTTGGGCCCTGGTGTGCCAGCACTGTGCAGAGCCAGGGGAGCCAGAGCTCTAGCGCCAGCCAGGATGCCCTGAGACAGGCACAAACACTGCAGGACCTGAGCCTTGAGTCACACTTTCCAGGCTCCCGCTTCTGCCCATATATGAGCAGGCAGCCTCTTGGAGCTGGGCATGCACCCTGAGGCAGGGGAATTAGGCAGCAAGTGGAAGCAGTGATGCTGCAGCATCCTGAGGGGCCACCCACACTCAGACAGCACCATTCAGAACACCTTGGGTGGCATCCCCAGCAGCTGACCCCTGGGTCAGGCTCAGCCATGGGGGCACAGCTCTGTTCTAACTACTGCCCTCCCCACAGCTGGAGAGCAAACAGCACTCCAGGGTGAAACAGTACCCCCTGCCCAAACCTCCACAAGGTGCTATTCCAGAAGGCTGAAGCCCAGCCAGCTGTCCCTGCCAATTTCCTGCTAGGCCCTGTCTGGCACCGCCAGGACTTGCCCCTCACCCATCAGCATCCCCCAGTCTCATCCACAGCCGAGGCAGTCAGTTCCCTGCCGAGCCCTGGTGGTGGTGGGCACATGGGCAGGTACTTGGAGGGGAAGGTTCTCACCATCAGTCCTGGGGGGGGCTGACAATGGGCTACGACTTTTTGGTTTTTACCAGCCCCTTCTGGACCAGGCAGCGATAGAATTCCTGAATGTATGTGTACACACACTTCCAATCTGGCTCGCGCATCCGGACCATGTCCTCCACGTCCAGCAACTGTGGACAGTCCGCGTGCTTCCTGGGTGCGGGGAGAGAGAGGGGCAAGCCAGTGACCGCAGCCCAGTCAGGGAGGGGAGGAAGAGAAAACAAGAGACACAGATCAGTGCAGTTCCCATCCCACTGGCAGCTGCTCCGCTCTGGCATGCTCTGGGGATGCACGATGCAGGGGCAGGAGGGCTCCAGGCACCCCATGCCAAGGCCATTCAGTGATACTGGGGGGGCACAAGCAAGGGGGAAAGGGGCAGGTGAGTGGTGTGGAGAGGCGTGAAGTCCAGAGGGAAAGACAGACAGAAGAGGAGGAGGAGTAGGAGGACGAGTGAGGTGTTCTGGCACGCCAGGTGCTCGGGGTGCGGGTTCCAGAGCGGAGCGGCGCTCTATACAGCTCCTATATAGAACTGCTGGGAGGATGGCGGGGGGAAAACCCAGCCCTCCTGCCCAGCTCCACTTGGAACCGCGCGGCACAGCCCTGGTGCAGGAAGCTCAGGAAAGGACGCTCACAAGAGCTGGAGGAGGAGGAAGGACGAGAGGCCACCTGGCTTCCAGGCCGGAGAGATCGATGGCTCTCTCAAGTCCGCACACCAGTTTCCCAATTAAGGCAAAAAATCCATTAACAGGAGCGCCAAGAGCCAGGCCCACAGCCCCCTTCTCGCTCCACCAAACAGCACCACGGCACCCTGGGAGCTTGTGGGAATCCCCATCTCACCCTGCCACCTTGGACATCAGCAGGATGGGACCCCCCCCACCCCCAGCCCTGCCCCCTGGCAGGGTACTGGAGGAGAAGAGTGGGTGGGTGGGAGAGAGACAGAAGGAAGGAGAGAGGGGCTGGCTGCCAGCCCTCCAGCTAGGTGCACTCCCATCTCTCAGCACCCAGGAAAACAGAAGCAAAAAGGGAAAGGAAGAGACTGGAGAAGGTGCAATGGTGTTTGAGCCCCTACAACTGTGAAAGGAGGAACCTGGCATAGGTCAACCCTGCTCCCCCCACAGGTTGCAGTCCCACACCTGGTCCCCCAAGATGGAAAGTACTGCTGGAAGCCAG